GTTTTTTTCCCTTTAGTATTCGTTTTCAATTAGGCAATTCATTTGGGAATACATAGGTGCTTTTTTTTTGGAGGGAAAGTTCCCTTATGTATTCGTCTTCAATTAGGCAATTCATTTGGGAATACATAGGTGTTTTTTTTTGGAGGGAAAGTTCCCTTATGTATTCGTTTTCAATTAGGCAATTCATTTGGGAATGCATAGGTGGTTTTATTTTTTGGAGGGAAAGTTCCCTTATGTATTCGTTTTCAATTAGGCAATTCATTTGGGAATACATAGGTGTTTTTTTTTGGAAAAGTTCTGGAGTGCAAACAAACAACAAGGCTCAAATGGTCGATTTCCTTACTAAACCCTTTCAAAAAATGCCAAAAAACAATCGCGCAAAGGGGGTAGCCTTGAAGTCCCCTGACATCAAAATAATAATGTATGTTTGCACACCCCTAAATAAAGTATTTGGATTTCAGGGTTCTAAAATTTTGGTGGTTAATTAAATTTGTTTCTCAATTCCTTTCCTAGTTGAACCCTTTCTCAAACCCTTTCTGAAGCCCTCAAGACTCTTTGAGCTGGAAGCAGTAAACTCCAAACTCCAAATCTTGCCTGAAAAGTTCTGGAGTGCAAAAAAATCAACAAGGCTCAAATGGTCGATTTCCTTACTAAACCCTTTCAAGAAAGTTCACTTTATGTATGCGTTTTCAATTAGGCAATTCATTTGTGAATACTAAAGTTCCAAGAAAGTTCACTTCATGCATTCGTTTCCAATTAGGCAATTCATTTGTGAATACTAAAGTTCCAAGAAAGTTCACTTTATGTCTTTATGTATTCATTTTCAATTAGGCAATTAATTTGTGAATACTAAAGTTCCAAGAAAGGTCACTGTATGTATTCGTTTTCAATTAGGCAATTCATTTGGGAATACATACGTGATTTTTTGTTTTTTTTTTTGGAGTGTTCCCTTTATGTAATCGTTTTCAATTAGGCAATTCATTTGGGAATACATAGGCGTTTTTTTTTGGAAAGTTCCTTTTATGTAATCGTTTTCAATTAGGCAGTTCATTTGGGAATACATACGTGTTTTTTTTTGGGGGGGGGAAGTTCCCTTATGTATTCGTTTTCAATTAGGCAATTCATTTGGGAATACATAGATGATTTTATTTTTTTGTGGAAAGTTCCCTTATGTATTCGTTTTCAATTAGGCAATTCATTTGGGAATACATTGGTGATTTTTACGATAGTTGAATGTTTGGCCCTAACTTTATTCTGATGCTCTTAATGTTTGGGGGGGAGGGGGGTTATGAATACGATGTTGACACTATTTTATTTTTATGTCACTTGTGCATGTTTCCATGTATGTATGTATGTATGTATGTACGTATGTACGTACGTACGTACATATGTACATATGTACGTATGTACGTATGTACGTATGTACGTATGTACGTATGTACGTATGTACGTATGTACGTATGTACGTATATCGTATGTAGGTATATGTAGGTATATGTAGGTATATGTAGGTATATGTAGGTATATGTAGGTATATGTAGGTATATGTAGGTATATGTAGGTATATGTAGATATATGTAGGTATATGTAGGTATGTACCTTTATATATTTTTGTGTGTGTTCATGCATGTCCACAAGTACAAATGTAAATATAAAGTCCCCAAACTTTAGTTGCATGTCCAGCACCGCTGTGGAGATGCACCCATATCAATACCACATAGACGCTTGCTACACCCCAACCACAACCCCAACCATATCTCCGCCTTCGTCCACACCCAGGGCTACGGCTAAGCCCCCAAACCCAAGGCTAAGCCCCCACGGACCATATATCTACATTCTTTCATATGCATATGAATACATAAACCAGCAACACAACTCATTGCCAATTTCTCACACCCTTTGTAACGCCACCGCCACCGCCCAATACAAGCCGAAGCAACTGGGATATACTATACTGGGATGGGTCTTGTCATGTGATGCGACGAAGTTTATCTCACACAAAGTGCTGAAATTTTGACATTCGTCGCATGTGTGTGTGTGTGCGCGTGGGTGTGTGCTCTTGTTTGGTTGCGTTTTTGGTTTCAAACCAAGGCACATTGGAAACAGCGGCTGCCATTTCTGCATACCCAACATATTGCATGCCTCATCGGGCGCTCCAATATCCAAACTCAGGAATGTTTGCAATTGTAAAGCCTCTGCACAACATGCCACGCCTCCTTGAATAATCGGATGTTCGATGCCAAGCATGTTCGTCAAAGCAGTCCGCAACGGCATGGCTGCAATGAATGTATATATTAGTTTAATTTTTTATGTGAATCAACGTAGGCATTATCATCCCTGACCCTGAGCCCACGGTATGATCTATTGTGCTCAATTTACTTGCATATCTGGATGTCAGCTCTCATGTGTTCCGGCATTGAATTTTCGCTACCAACTTGCTGCTTCACGACGGACATTTTAACATTTCCTGTTCCGGCAAAATGCGGCACATGGTTCCCACCAATCACCACCCAAACATGTTCGCTTGAATAAGCAACGTGGGAAAATATGGCAAAGTAATTTTATATGCTGGCCTGCCACTGTTACAGTCCAGGACCACATGATCTATCAAGATTCCTGTGTCCGGTGAGATTGCCGTGCCAGATTTTGTGACCGAATGTGTTGTTTCGGTCAAAATGGCATCACATTTTCCAAGAGAAATCCATCGGTTTATTATGTCCATGATTTCAAACTACCAAAAAAAAACGCGTTACTTCGACATGTTTCTCGCTTGCGCTTGTCCCAACATCCGAATTTTAAACGACAACCCTCTTTACCATCTGCATATGCAGCAAAGGCTGTCACAAGATTTTTCTTTCGTGCAGTTCTGTCGGGGCAACTGTGTTTGAAGGTTTGTCAACAATGTTTCCCTTCTCCCATGCCCCTTGCGGACCGGGCAATTGACTTGACTCGGACGGGAGTGCGTGCATTCCTCTTTACCATCGAATGCTTAAAGTAACTTAAAGTCTTTTCACATTTGCTTCGCACCCATGACCTCGCAATTACGGTAAACACCGCAGTAGGGCAAACAGCACACAGGAACCCACAACTTAACAGAACACGTTTCATCCCGCTCAAAGCTTTAGAGAAGGTATAGGATTGCAGGCCACACAAACCACCAGATTGGCCGTCCTGTTGTGTAAAGAGAAACCATTGACCGCCAACACCATGCAATAAAAAATGCAAGTTGAACGAATCTTCACCCGATCCTTCTTGAAGGAAACTGCTGCCCTTCTCGGCCCCAACCTCCAAAAACACATCGGCAGCCTAGCATCAATGATAATTAAACGCAATCGTTTCGGAACGCTACGTCGCTAAGGCTCAAAAATAGTTACCATCAGCCCCTACCCGACCATCCCTACCCCTATAGAAGGGGAAGGCGGGGGGGGGACAAAACCAACCTGTCGAATTCCATTTTTTTTGCTTGTAAACCCTGGGATTTTGCTTGGAAACCCTGGGATGGTGATCCAACCCCTCGAATGGAATTGTAAAGTAACATTTCTTAACAAGCCTTGGGCACTGGTTAGAAAATACTTGCGCTTAGCTCCGGTATGATCACGGCAGCGCAATTTTTTGGAGGGATGCCATCCCTACACATGTGCTGCTTCAGTATCTTCAGTCTGACGGAGCTAAACGCAAGTGCCAATGACATGGAATGATGAAGAATATTGATCATTGAGAAAACATGATTGCAAACATGAAATTTTAAAATGAAATTTCAGTACGGTTCCCCCCCTCAAATTCCATTTGTAAGAGGGTAGGGATACCCGACCCACCCCCCCACTGGATTGGCAACGTGGCACGTGCACGAGCAATGAACACAATGTTTTGGGATGTTTTAGGAAAGTTAACATAACCCCATTACGTCATTGGCAATGCAACATTAGCAAGGAACGCTGCATCCGTAGTGTTTCCTTGGCAAAAAGTGTGCAAGTGGAAGTGAACGCTCATCACATCCCACCTCGTGTAGAAATATGTTCTGCCGTGGCATGATTTCTGCGAACACGCATGCGAAATTCATTATAATTCAATTTAACCACCCTCAATCGGAGGGGTTTAAATCGGAAAAAATAAGATGCAGCCCACGAACCCGAATGCTCCCACGTATGTGAATGGTACAGATGTCGAAACACATGGATATGCAATCACGTAAAACACGTTTGTGAAACAGTTTATTTGAACAGTCTTGTACATTTTTCCCCTGTTACCATACCAGTGCACCGTAGAATCTGGAATGTGGAAGAAGGTGGCGTGCTAAGTGTGGAGTGTGGGGTGTAGAGTCTGGAGTGTAAAGTATGGAGTGTAAAGTGTGGAGTTTAAAGTGTGGAGTGGTAAATGTAAAGTGTGGAGTGTGGAGTGTAAAGTGTAAAGTGTGGAGTGTAAAGTGTAAAGTGTCGAGTGTGGAGTGTAAAGTGTGGAGTGAAAAGTGTGGAGTGTGGAGTGCAAAGTGTGGAGTGTAAAGTGTAAAGTGTCGAGTGTGGAGTGTAAAGTGTGGAGTGAAAAGTGTGGAGTGTCGAGTGTAAAGTGTGGAGTGTAAAGTGTAGAGTGTGGAGTGAGGATTGTAAAGTCTAAAGTATTGAGTGTAAAGTGTGAAGTGTGGAGTGTACAGTGTACAGTGCGAAGTGTAAAGTGTAAAGTGTAAAGTGTGGAGTGTGGAGTGTAGAGAGTGGAGACTGACGTGTAAAGTGCGGAGCGTAAAGTGTAGAGTGAGGAGTGTAGAATGTAAAGTGTGGAGTGCGGAGTGTACAGTGTAAAGTGTGGAGTGTGAAGTGCGGAGTGTAAAGTCTAAAGTGCTGAGTGTGGAGCGTATATAACGTGTAAAGAGTGGAGTGTGGAGTGTGGAGTGTAAAGTGTGGAGTGTTCAGTGTGGAGAGTTCAATGTGGAGTATAAAGTGTGGAGTGTGGAGTGTAAAGTGTAGAGAGTGGAGTGTAAAGTGTCGAGTGTGGAGTGTGGAGTGTAAAGTGTAGAGTCTAAACTATAGAGTGCGGAGTGTGGAGTGTCGAGTGTAAAGTGTGGAGTGTGGAGTGTAAAGTGTGGAGTGTGGAGTGTAAAGTGTGAAGTGTGGAGTGTGGAGTGTAGAGTGTAAACAGTGCGAACACACCCTCAACCCCCAGACCCCCAGACCCCCAGAGTGAAACAGGAACCCTTGCTACGCATTTGGGAAAAGTGTTCAGCTGCGAAATGAAAAAAAACGAACAAAACCGAAAGAAACCGATGAAAACAGAAGAAACATAAGAAACAAGACACAGGAAAACCAAGAGTATTTAATTTATTGCGCATAGTCACACTGTAACAGATATCAGCACAAATCAACGCAGGTAAATTGTTGCTTTGGAGGGTTTGAACTTGCCTGTCATCATCATGACTCCGTGGGGGCCTGGGGAGGACGGCAAAAATTTTAAGAAACAAACAATTATTAAAAAACAATTTAAAAATGTTTCAAAACAAACAAAAATTAAAGACAAACGTTTAAAAAAACACAATGAACATAAAACAAAAAATAATCAAAAAAAGAATCGGGAAAATCAAAAAGACTCAACTCGTTTTAATTGCTGACAAAATGCAAAAATCAACATCACAACCACAAATGGAACTTATTTTTTCATTTGTGTTTCAAATTTCGTATGTGTTTTTATTTCGTCTTGATGCATTTTTCTAATCTCTTAAGGCTCACGGTCATTCTGTCCCAGATTGTTTTTTTGTGTTTCTCTCATGTCGTCATTGAAGTTGCTCAAACGTGCCAGGTTTGCCCAGGACCATCCAGGACTCAGCCTTCATGTCGCTCACATGCCAGTCATATGTCATTTACTGTTTGGTCACCCAACCCACCAGTCCTTTTACACCCTTCAAACCTCTAAATAAATGAATGAATACAGGGTTTTGATCTTGATATATATTATATAATGATACATAAAAATCATAAAATACATTATGCGTATTTTCGTTGCGTTAAGTTGTTTCGCATCTATCTATGTGTGGGGTGGTTGCAAAATTCCTCTCATTTAACCATGTTTTAAAACGTTTAAAAAATTGGTTACGAACGAAAACAAAAACAAAATGGCACGGCGAACCGCCCGCAAGCACATTCATGCTCACTTTTTCCATTAAATATCGCAAAAGAATCCATGAGCGATATGTAAGTCCAAAATATAATCCAATATGTTCCAATTCCTCTCTGGTGCCAGCAGTAGGTAATCAAACCCAGCAAGCCCTTAATATTGAGTCCATGTTCGTGCCTGTATCTGAGCGGGGCCAAGATCACAAACTGTCATGCATGAGGTTTTCAAATTTTGATCGCAAGTTTGCTGGAATTTCTAAATTTACATCCAAATTGTCATTTTTTGCATTCATTCCTTCGGAAACAAGTGCTTTGAACATTTAACATGTAACTTGACATTTTTCCCTGAAGTAACCGGGTGTTGGCTACAGACTGTTGACAACAAATGCAGAAAAAAAAACAATTCAAAAATACAAATTCTGCAGTGCAAGGTCGAGAAAATACAACAGGTATCAACAGGTTAACTTCGCATTTATTTTGCAAGTTGGTTGCTGTTTGTCAAAATTAACATGACATTGGTTCATTCATTCTTGTTTATTTTTTACTTTGTATTTTTTTGTTTTCATATTTTTTGGATTTGGTATTTTTGTATTTTTTTGTACTTTGTATTTTCGAAAATTTGGGTTTGCATTTTCTTTCGTATTTTGTATTTTTGCTATTGGATTCGTACTCTTGTGTCTTTGTTTTTATTTTTTTCGTAATAACTTTATATGTTTACCTTGCATTATTTTTATTTATTTTCCATTACGTCCAAACATGTACTTTGCATTGTTTTGTATTTCTCCATTCGTTCAAAAATCGCACTTTATCGTTTTGTATTTTTGCCGTCTACTGGTACCCGCTTCACTTAGGGCAACACCAAACGCAGCACTTCAGGCAACATCCAGAAATCACACACTCCTCACACTTTGGACACTTACTTTGGGCAACACGGAAGATATCACTTCTTGGGCAACACGGAAAACATCATTTTTCTTATCTAATTACTTGACTCATCTTGACTCAGCCATTTAGGGTTTGGTTGCGGGGGTGGGGAGAGATCATTTTTCTTATCTAATTACTTGACTCAGCCATTTAAGGTTTGGTTTGGGGGGTGGGGAGGGATCATTCTTCTTATAGAGTTACTTGACTCAGACATTTGGGGTTTGGTTAGGGGGTGGGGAGGGGCCATTCCTCTAATATAAT